ACTGTATGTGCTTAAACTGTGAGTTTTGTATATAATGCATGACAAGGTTACCCACCTACATATGATGAAAGAAATAAACAGACAGGGCGTTATATTAAGAAACATTACCAAACCTCAAACATTCTCAGAAGAATACCGGTAATTAGACGTACATATCGCTGTTGGAGAAAATTTTATTGCTCATATATTTCGCTAAACACAATGCCTAATAAATAACTTATCTAACAAAGAGGTAGATGTAAGTAAAATTCTATTTAAAAGCCTGGCATTGCTTTCAAGTTTTGCATACAACTTTCTTCAATTTTTTCACGTTATGAATTTCATTCGACATCTCTCCCTTCTGTCTAATGATTTAGAATGCATGTTATTTAAAGAGAAAAATATCTTTTATAATTTTCAGCGTGCTTTTTTTTTTTAGCTTAAAAACCTTTCTTTGTAAATATAAAGGCATTTGTATCAGCAAATACTCAAAAGCATCATGGTTAAATGCGCTGATCACAAAACTATTACGGTATGAAAAACAGCATTCTGTAGCATACCTAGGAAATGTTTTCCAATTCTATATACCAAATAGTCTGGAGACATTTTACGAATGCAGAACTATGGCAGGGTAAAATTAGAAGTTGCTATTTATTCAATTATTTTTTTGTTTAGGCTGTTTAATTTTTGAAAGCTTAAATTATACATACACGTGATAAGCTGTTGGCTCTGGGTTCGTCTACAATATTCCAGATCCGAATTTTCCATCTTTCCCAAACGGATTTCTTCACCTCAACGAAATCCTCGGAAATTCCGAATCTTTCCCTCATCGCCGACTCTTCCTCATCGTCACTCTCCGTCCCGGGGTCATGACCCTCGAACTCTGCCAGAGTCTGCTGGGCGTCCCTATGGGCTCGATAAGTGTTCCAACAACATGGTTCTATCTGGTTCTCGTCCAGACCCCAGTAAGCGAGCTCTTCCTCGAACGCCGGGCCACACACGTCCATTGGAATGTGGAGTTTCCCTGTCCGGTAGTAATTCAGTATCATATGAAACATTCCGGAATGTCTGTCGAAGAAAAACTCTCCCGTAATCGGGTCGTACTCCGGTGTGTTTCCGGTGGAGTCCGACAGCCATGATAGTCGGGTATCTGGAATGCTTTTCAAGGTGGTTTTATAGGTTTCGAACTTGACACCTCCTACATTGAGCACAATCTTATTTTCATTCCTCCTTGATTGTGGAATCGGAATAATGGAAGTTTTTGGAGCAAAGATCGAACGTCTAAAGCTTTCCATTTAAAACTAAATCTAAAGTAAAGAATCATCTGATATTAACGAGTCAGAGAAATAGAGCAAAACTCGCACTGTAGCATCGGTAATAACATGGTCTGATAGATGGATGGCGATGTACCAATGACGTCTCAGCTTACTTCTTGGAAAGCAGATGCCCGATACATATTAACACGAATACTGTCAATACACGTCTCTTTGCATATACTTATATACCAATCGCAGATGCAAACACCGACAGCCCAATCCCACCAACCACAAATACTTTTAGGCAGTTCGCACTGAAGATGGAAAGTTGTTGAAAAAACACTGCAAGTATATATTACAACGATTAAAATGTTGGCATATCTTATAAACAGTTTATACTGTGTAAATACGAATCAGATCAGGCTCTTTATACAAGTAAAATTTCTCGATATCATCAGAATCGAAGTGAGCTCTCGTTTATAATCCTCTTGCATCTGTGTTAAGCCGGGGCACTGGAAACAAAAATAGAAAAATATACGGCAGTTTATAAGAACTCCATGAAACCGTTTATGTTTACAAACTTTGTGAGTTTAGAGAGTTCGATATTCTTCTTGTGTAATTAATATATTTATATGTATACAAGCAGGAATAGGATGTCTATCCTCTGTAAAGCTCCACGTAGATTTGTTTTCTGGCGACAAACACAGAATCCTCAGCGATATAGATCAATTAACGGAAACTGTTCACATTTAATTATACAATATGCACCTGCGATTTGTGTAAATATTAAGTAACGGAATCCGGGAAGGTTGAGGAGCTTATTAATAATTAAGTCTGATTAATGATGAATCTTATCTTGTAGGAAGACTTGTTTTATCTCTGATTTTCCAATTAAGATCGACGGAGTGACGTGATCTGCTGGTCTGTTGTGAACAAAGCCGCTGTCAATTGTCCGTTTATGTTTAAACAGAAGGAAAGATGTTCAAATAATCTTCACTGCTCACTACAAAGCGCGCGCTTTTCTTGTGACCACGTGGGAAAAACATCATCCGGTTAGGGAGGAACAAGGAATGGGGTTCTGGAACAGATAGAGTACAAACAAATTACCCCTCTGACATGCCTATCAGCAGTTTTACTGAGAGCTTTCAAACCCTGTCAGGGTTTCGTTTCTCCTTGTACCAATAAATTCAGGGTCGTTACTGGAAGGAAATCACAATATAATCTGTCTACACATTATTTTCACAAGATAAGCTCATGTTGAGCTGATAAAAGGAATCTTAAATTCGGTTCAGATTTTATTGAAATTGACATGCACAACTCTTAAGAAATAGATTTAAGCATTTCAGAAGTTAATTTCCTTCCGACTTCTGTTAACAATGGATATAAAAATTATAAATAAAGCGTCCTTTTTAATGTTTACATTTCGCTTTATTTGTTTGACTGTATTATTTATATATACCGGTATATAAACACCACCCACATAGGTTAACTTTTTTGTGAACTCTTGCAGAAATATTTTAATATTCGTAAATCTGTATACGTGCTTTGTTAATATTAATATGAAATATGGAGAAAACGATCAGTTATCAAGCGCAGAAGTTCAATTCGTTGAAACAATACATATCAGAATCAGATAAAACACAGACCTCTAAGAATATAACATTAGATGGGATCAGATGCCATTGATGAATAAGCACCCCCACCCTCCTGTGCTCTCTTTCGTGATCGAGAAAATGGAAAAAAAAATCATAGGCTGTTCAGTGAGGACATGTATATATTGGCCTAACAATTTGTATGAAAAAATGAAAAGGCATTTAATTTATGACAGATGATTGTATTTGCTGTCAAGGCCATTGTATCGATAATAGCATTTGCAAAATTTTGACTTTAGATTGATGTTTGATTGTTGATATTTGCTATGTGTTGACTTGTTTCATCAACTTGTTTGTCAATAAATTGAATTGTGCAGCCAAATAAATTTTATGTTATTTTATTTAACAAACTAATCAAAATTGTTCCGTGTTTTGTTCTATATTTATTATTTATTTTGCATGTCTGTTAGGGAACTTCGTTGATTTGGAATGCCAAACTCTTCTTATGTCTTACTTTCATTGATTCATAAAATCGCCGATTTATCTATAATGTACACTTTCAAAATCTTATGATAACAATTCCTGTAACTGACATAGTTTTTAGTCTGTGAAATTCACACCAAAAAGGTTATAGAGGAGATAAGTAAAGAAACGATAACCGATATCTGAGATTACCTAGATTGCGTAATTCTACACATCAGACTTTAAAGTTTACAAATACACGATTAAGATTCGTATATTTTTATAGGGCGTTGACATTGCTAGCTAATATTGCCCTCAAATAAACCTCAATTTTCAGACAGACTTTCAATTCTTTGATGAAACATTCGAACTCGAGAAAACGTCATAGGTCTTTGATGACGTTTCTCTTCAAGGTTGTAAGGTCATGGTGTCGATACGTTAGCGCAAGTGTAAGCAGTGAATTATTAAAAAGCACCGTCTTAAAGATCTGAAATCTACTAAATCTTCAGATAACGGGGGCCAATTGTGCGAGCACGCCATTCCCATAAACTGTCAAATCAGCCGCTCAGAATCAGGATATTGAGGTAGATTGTGTTGTTTCCGTAATTCTGTATTCTGATTGATAACCAGTAAAGTACATACTGCGAGATAATCCAGCTCTTTGATCCAGCACTCAACGTCAGCAGACAAATCTCTCACTCACACAAAGGCAAAGGACGTATAGGGTCTGGAATTGGACTATTATTTTGTAATACAAAACAAAGATAATTTTGACTCCCGCAAGATAATCGTTAGAAGAAAGTGAAAATAATCGTTGATGCTTCTTAAATTCTTGAAGGAGTTTTGGGTAAACGACTCGTTTCATATGAGGAAAAAGAAAGCATATCTTAAGTGTTTTTGCTATTTAATAAAATGAAGACTAGAACGCTGAAAACCATAAAGAGGAAGAAAATATAATATTCTTAACACAATTTGTTCAAAACGATATTGCTTCTTAAATAATAAATATTCAACAGATTATTCTGAAAGTTTACGAAAGTATATGTATGAAATATATATGGAGATAACTTAAACAGTATCAAAGCTCAAACGTCCATTAAACAATACAAAATAGGAACAGAGCAAACACGGACCTCCAAAACATCAAAGGTGGGATCAGGTCACCGGTCACCGTGTGTTCCTAATCATGATCATAATTTAAAGAAAAATCTGTGGACAGAATGCAGTGTGTAAATAATGGACTAACGATAAGTATGAAAACGTCAGGCAGCATTTGACTCAATGATAAACTGTATTTGCTGACAATGGCATTATTTCGACCATAGAACTTACGAAATAATGACTTAAAACGAGAATGCTAATGAGTCAAAAAGGTATATTGGCCAGTGTTTTAGATAATATCAAAAATATGTAAAAATTGGCCATCAACTTCGCCAGGTTAGATAAAATACTGGCTAGAAACAATATAGCAGTTTCGGACAAAAAAGTTTTAGAAGTTCACATCTCGATGGAGTGAATAATCTGTAGTTTGAAATTCATCTCTGTACCTATAATTTTTGAACATGCAAAGATACAGGGATTTACACGGGACCAACATGTAAAGATATTTCAAAGACATGCCAGAAACCCGACCATTACCCTAAGGGTCACTAAAATTTATTAACTTTCACATCTTTTAATGAATATATCTTTGTAAATAAAGAAGTGAAAAGGCTTGTTTGGCAGGCATTTTAATCACTAATTTAAAAATTGGCACATGATAATATTCTTTGATCATTCTTTTCTTGTATTTCAGCGAAACGTAGGACATCTCAAGTAATTTCTTCTTGCATTGATATTAAGATATAATGTTGTTTATAATCTAATATGATTAGTATTGAAGAAAACCACACATATTCATATGTCATCAATGATTTAATTCATATAAAAAGAAATTAAGGTGAGAATGGAATACTCAATAATTGTTGCACTCGTTACAGTAAAAAAATAACTACGACAGTGGATAAAAATTATGCATGCATATAAATATTTTTTTTATTAAAATTCATTCCATATTTTTGCAATCTTTCTCCGACATGTAAAGACCAATATCCTTTACATGTAATAAGATAACACAGAGATAAGTAGTGCAGTTAATTCCTGTTTGTTTTTCAAAACTGAAATTCTTGTAGGAAATTCTTTTATCCAATTAAGACATCAACTGCTTCATGAATATAAAATTCTTTTGTTTCCTCTTCTTTTGTGTCGCGTCTTGAATTTTATTTCCCTTGAAATTGAATTAACCGCAAACTATTTATTAAATTAATGTCGTATTTTGTACAAAGCTAGCCCACCCAGGAAGTTTCCTGATGTCTGCAAAAGCAAAAACTTGTCCCGTTACCGGACACCGCTCTACCCCCTCCGCAACTGCCATGTATCTGTCTCGCTCCTTTACTTCATGACCGTACTTATTTTTCAGCTCCGACAAAATATCCTGCAAAAAAACAAAGAATTTTTTGCCAGAGAATGTTTGCAATATATATAATTATATTTATGATCAACCAAAATTTATTGGTTGTACTTATTACATTTATATAGGATTGCAATATAATTAATTTGTTTTGAGCTTAAAAACTTTTTGAATTCCAAATTAACAAATGCGAAAGAACCCGTTTCTTTCAGATATATGAGGTATAATAATATTTTATTGCTTCAACTTAAATTAAACCCGTTTTATCTTTGACACTTTCGCCGAATAAAAATGTTTTCACACTTTAGTAATTGAGGTCACATACTTGGAGGAATGCTACAGAATGGAATATGAAAATGAATAATTGGCTCCCTTTCTTACAAATACATTTATAAATGAATTCCTTCTCTTTGGAGTGCAACATCAGGCAACATATGCCAGGTACATCTAAGCTGTTATAACAAGGAGCGCGATAAGAACAGATACATTGGTCTTATTAATTCGTTCTTCTTCTACCTGCCGGCTTCAATTTGTCAGAGATTTGTTATTGGTTGTTACTATGATGCAAAACCTGTTATCCTAGTTATAGAAAAACTCAGTTTTCCAGGAAACACGAATAGGCTACGTATTTATGACATCTAATGACACGTCTTGCCGAATCCAGCTTACAAACAACATGGATTCATTATGATTAAAATTTCTGTTGTCATTTTTATTCACCGTTGCTGGTTTTACAGTTTTGCCAATTTTTAAGTAGCAGAGGAATCGCTCATACTGAATGGGTAGCAGATGTTTTGATAGATCATTGCTTTTGTATGAATAAAGTCAGCATTAAGCACCCACCTGTGGAAAACCAAACTCGTACTTTAAGACGTCAGGCGAAAAGTGATGGTGGAATCGCTTTTTTCGTATTGCCTCTTCAATTGTTTCTCCAAATAATAAAACTCTGGCAGATATCTGTAATTGAAAATTGTATTTAAGAGTCAGAAAAAGTTGAAAAAACTCAACGTAACATGCTTTTGAAAGGAATGAAAAAACATCATATGGCATGAAACGATTTTCAGATGAAAAACTCGCCTAGCGCTAATGTTCATATCCTTCATTTAACAAAGACAACAGATGATGATAATCTTGTGTGATATGATAACGTACGCCCATATTTTGATCTTCAAAGGAGAAATTTTTATTTACGATTTAATCAATTGATAATCAAAGTTTTATGCATTGACACCCTGTTGGTCTTGTACTAGTATCTACATATATTACCAGTGGTTTTAAATTCCATGATTTCAACAAAAGTTATAATTAACACGGTCATTTGTATTCTGTAAAAGTTTGTAGTATAATTGTGCTGAAGAATATGGTCTTCAAGAGCGCTCATTTAGAAAGGAAACTTAGCATAAAAGTTCATGTTTTCCTCTTCAGGCCAGTAAATGTCAAATTAGTATGTTAAAAGTCACTTCGAAAATAATGACCACCATGCTGTTGAAGTGATGGAACATTTAGACATGTACTCAGTACAAATTTATTTTACATGTTTATCATACAGAAGAATTATATAAGATAAGCTTTGGCTTGGTCATTGGCCAGGCTTTCTTCAGTGTACATGTATATAACTCTCAAACACTTCGAAACTATTTTATTTAAGAAATCAAAGGGATAGTGTGAGCAAATCAAGTATGATTTACAAAATCTATGACTTAAAATAAGGTTAAGCAACATGAAACAGCTAAACACAAACGAAACCTTTAAAACTTTACCAATCTTTGTAAAATATATAATCAGTGCAAAAGAAAATCAATGTTCATTTTTGAGGATGTTGTTTTTTGCTGTTAATGAATGTTTAACGACTTTTTAAAATATTTTTATTGATTGGTGGATGTGCAAGTTTCATTATAATCAATTGTTAATATTTGTAAATCAGTGTTCAGTGTTTTAATTGGCAAATGAAATCAGCACATTATCAATCTAGTAATGAAAGACAGCTCATTTATGAGCAACATATAATATGGATGTAAAATATTAAGTATTTTTCGACTCTTCTATATTCTAGCGTACCCTTTACAATGTTAAAAAGAAAAGTCAAGGTAATATTTTTTCGTAAATATTGAAATTTTAGTTCTTGCTTTCAAGTAAACGCTTCATTTGACTGTTTCAAAACCATGTTGAAAGTCTTACAACTTGTAGTGTATGCATATTTTAACCAGTCGACTGATGTGAATTTGAAATCTGTCAAATAATTCCGAAGTGTTTAAGAAAACTTGGAAAAACAGGAAAACGACGAAGACAAAGACTTTCGATGTCTATACCGTTAGCTATATAAAAGTAATGCCATGAATTGTACCTAATATAAACTTTAAATATAGCCATATATTTGATGACTTACACCCCTGACATATCAGTGCCCAACTCAACCACAACTACCGAAAGGCATTTCATTTTGAAATAGCCTGTTCTTTCGACGATGTTGTAAATGCCCAAAGAAGACCCTGACTCATGAAACATCTATGAAAACGGCTTTAAATTACATGCTGACACGACGTCCCAAGTAAGTAAAAAATTTGGTCAGTTACATTTATCGATTTTCTTCCCTAAAGTATTTCTACTGGATAAGGAAATCGAAAATAATTGGCATAGAATATAAGGATCAATGCCAAAGCTCTTTCGCTGGTCCTCAGACCACTGGCAATAGAGTTTAAATCACAAATTCAAATGAGAATAAGTTTAAATATAATGTAGAAAATAAAAAAAAATATCGTGTTTGAATATCCTATAAAATCTGTAGCAAGCAATTAACAACAAACATTTGCTTTTATATTTCGACTTGAAATATTGAAAAAAAAGACACTACAAAGTATGTCACGCCGGTTTCATGTATGTTTTACTGTCTTATAGAATATAATGACCATTTATGACTAATTTATATGACAAATAAGACGACTCCAGCTAGTCCATCATCAGCTTTCCTTATTTATGTAGTATTATTCCGCTTTCACCTGCATTCAGAGTTTATGTCTCCCATCTTATCCGATATTCAAATGTATGATCTGAATATGGCCAGTTCTTTGTTAACTTCTCATTCTCTCCCACTCTATCTCATAAATCTTTGCTATAAATATGATTATTACAATAGATACGATACTTGATATTACAACTTGTTTCCATTAAAACGCTTCCATATATAGATTTTTGCAACGCCAAATTAACATTTATTCAAATATTTGAACATATCTTCAAATAATTGTACATATGTTAATTGAACCTTCAAATGAATTAAAGATATGTGTAATGAAACAAATATAGAGATAATGAACAGCATTTGTAATCAAACCTATCTTTAAACATTAAATCTGTGCTAGGTTCAAATAAATTTTACCTATCTTTAATTGAATTATATCTATCTTCAATTCAGTTGAAGATAGGGTCAAATGAAATATACATATCGTCAATTCTTTTGAAGATGGGTAGAATTGATTTAAAGATAGGTATATGTACAATTGAATTAAAGATAGGCACAGTTGATGCGTAGATTGGTACAATTGATTTGAAGATAGATTCAATTGTATCTAGGTTCATTTTTTTCCTGTTATTGAATATAAAGAAAGGTCCCCTTGACAGCGACTTGAACACAGAGAGAACAGTTCAAAGTATTTTTGGAAGTACTAGTAGTTGTTATTGTCAGTATCTTTATGAATAAAGATAGGTTCAATTCAATTGCTCCTATCTTTAAATCAATTATTTCTATCTTTAATTCATAGGATTGGTACCTATCTTCAAATCAGTTGAACCTATTTTCAACTCAATTATTCCTATCTTCAAATTAATTGTACCTATCTTCAAATGAATTAAAGATAGGTATAATTAAATTCAACCTATCTTTAATATATTTAAAGATAGGTATAATGGATTTGAAGATAGGTATACAAATTTGAAAATATGTTAGTTTGGTGTTCCATACAGATGCTCTCTGAACATACGCTGTATGAGTGTACGTTTTTGCTAGAATTAGTAATATGACCTTCTGTATATTATTAAAACGAATACTTATTGCCTGACGTCACGTCAATATTTCCTAGGTGCGAAGCTAAGAGGTCAGAGTTAGCCAAAGTTAGCCAGCAAAATTTTGTGCATGCTGATTATCATCGGAATTTGTTACCTGCGTTTCAACAACAACAGTTAGCAGAAAAATAACCATAATTCTGATACAACATATTGATGTATTTATTTAAGAAATAAGGTATCATTTTTTGAGTTTTATTGAGATGTAAAACAGGTTGGTCACGTGATGGGCTTTATGGAAGATTTGTTCAAACCCGTTTTACAAAAAACCTTTTACTTATATTTACATTTGTGACTTATACATACTTTAAATTTGCCTTATTGTTACTTTTAACGTGCGAAATGCGTTATTTTTCAAACCCAAATGTATGTAATCCATAAATCGACCTTTATGACGTCACACAGAGATTACGTCAAACGTTTATCCAAACGCACATCTATGACCTCTTGACCCCGTACCTGTATTTATACAGTTATAAAAACGCTTGCTTTCGGTAGTGTTATATAAAGGAAAACACTTGCAAATGTAAATATTTCCTTTAGTTTTTTTGCATGCAGCTATTTATTTCATGCAAGTTCCTATACGGACATGTCCGTTTGACCTTTTTCATTTGTCTTCTAGGTAAGGGGTGTCACAATCACTTCGAGCCAAAAGGTCACGTGTAAGTTTTTGCGCCCTTTCCCTGGACTATTCTACTGAATGGAAATGAAAACTGCATGAATTATATAAAATCTGTTCTTTTTGGCGGAATCTTGATCGAGCTTTGAAAAAAACATATCGGTGATATTGTGAAGTGAGTTAGAAGTTACATCTTTAAAGTAATAAAACACGAGAGAGAAGAGAGAGAGAGAGAGAGAGAGAAGAGAGAGAGAGACTGGCCAAATATAAATCTGATCATACCCCCCCTCCAGATGTTTCCTCCTAAAAAAAAAACAAAATTTAGACTTAAAGAGGCACCGTGACGCACAACGTGGAAAATTGACCAATGTATAATCTTTGCACGACCCGTGTGAATTTTGTTCAAATCCTAAAGGTATAAGATTTCAGAAAATTACAGGTTTCTGATCCTAAAAATTCTAATTTTAAGGAGAAAAATAAAAGTAAAAATAATTTCAGTATGCCCCATAACGATAATATTGCTTTAAACTTCTTGTACAAATTAAGTTTCATTAGCATATGACCTCGCGTTCCTACAAAACAACGCTTGTCAACGGAATTTTGGGACCACCCTCGTACATGTACTCTATACTCATAGTTCAAATGTTATCCACATTCATGTACATGTACTGTACATTCCATATTTTTAAATTTGAAATACAAACAACATATATATTTTATATAAAATTTGTTCTTTTTCCATTGCTCTGATACAGACAACACACAACTTAAAATGAATGCATGACGTTTTGCGCAACATCTTCCTTAAATTTACTCTAGTGAAATAATTTACCCCCTCCCAATGTAAACGTTTATAACTTATAATGCTTATAGGTTCTATAGATATTGATGGCGTTAGTCAGGCAAGCTTTTTGAAAACCTATTACTTGTCACATTGAAAAATAACGTCGACTCGTCAATTTCAATAACGTTTGAAAACTGCAGAATGCATATGAAATTATGCAGTTGTTTACTATTAAGATGAGAGAGTATCTTTTTGTTCAGTTAACCTATGAATTACCTGGGCAACGGTGGTTGTAATCCTTGAACCTCCAGCAGCACCAATCACCAAACGAACTTTCCCGCTCTTTTTGTTAATAAATATGGCGGGGACCATGGAGGATAGTGGCTGTTTTCCTGGTTTTACCGAGTTCACTTTAGAAACCTTTTAAATCATAAAGATATAAAAATCCTTAAATGTAAAATTGACTGCTGTATTGCTTTGATGTTTTCATAAAGATTGTAAGTTAAAACATATATTTATAAAAAAATGTTTCGATTTAGAAAAGTCGTAGAACACTAGAAGCTTGTTGATGACTGAGGCTTAATTATAAAACTTTTTTTCAGATATTGCTGAAAGTTGGAGTCGCTTTACATTTTTCAGTTTATTACTTAAATTATGTTGGACAAAAATTAGACACTGACATAATTCTGGGTCTTAGATTTGAGATTTTCTTCAAACGTAATGATCATGGAGGAATTACAGATATCTGAATAGTTGTAAATATGCAGCCTGTAAATCTTACTAACACAAAAAGGTCAGAGGTATGAGACAAAGTTGTAGTACATATAATTATATAATATTTTAACGATTTTCAATTTCTAATCTTGTTACAGTTGTCTTCCTTGAAAAAATAAAACTTTTCAAAAGTACAAATATTTTAACTGACAAATTGAAATGATTTGTTTTGTAATGTCGATCCGCCTTTTCTTTCTCAAATGAAAAAAATATTTATACTTAAATTTATCTGAATAGGGGGAGGAGTCTTAAAAATTAACATGGGTTTAAAGGACACTTGTCTACCTAGATAAATATTTATTTTTATATTTTAAAATTTTACCTCCTGCTGTGCCGTGCGTTTTATGGAGAAATCACACATTTCATTGTTCCAAATTATGCCCGTTGTATTTGACATGAACATTGAACCAAAGCTGGATTAAATAAAAAGCCATTAACATTAATTATGATTATATCACGAGAGAGAGAGAGAGAGAGAGAGAGAGAGAGAGAGAGAGAGAGAGACTTACTAAAAATCTATTGTGCTAGTAGCTGACATCGCATCCCCATTTGGCGCTAAAATAGACACGTGACTGGTCCCTTGATCGTCATGTGATGTCATGGTAATGTTTGTGTAATAAGACTGAGGATGTGTTCTTTTTCTGTCTATAATTTTTGTAATGTTTGAGGCCAGTGCATTTGATACCAGACGAGCTACTATCTGTGTAAATAAAAATTTATATTCTTATATTTCTTATAAATAAATGCTTATTAAATGATTCAGTGTACACTTTCATATTATTTACATTTTTGACTTGCGGTTCAAAATCACCATCTCCGAGCAAAGGTCGTAACGAGTAGGCAAATTTTGTAGCTTCTATCATCAAATGGTAGACCTTAGCAGGATCTTTTGTCATAGCACTTTTAGACAATTTCAGTTCTGAAAATTTCTACAAAGGATTAGTAAAAATAAACTTCATTTCAATGTATTCAATGAAACATATGGCGATAACAAATAGTATTCAAGATCAAAAATCCATTAAACAATACAAAATAGGAACAGAGCAATCACGGACCTCCAAAACATCAAAGGTGGAATAAGGTGCCCTGGAGGAGTGAGCATCCCCTGCCAGCATGTCACACCCTCCATGTACTCGTTGCTATGATCGGGAAATAACTGAAAGATCCGTCGTCAATTCAATGTATATATAATGGACCAACAATTAGTATGAAAAACGTCAGTCAGCAATTGACTCAATGATACATTTTGTAAATTGTTTTTGCTCACAAGGTCTTTGTATCGACAAGAGAACTTACCAAATTATGACTTTAAACGAGACTGTTGATAGTACTCTTTCATCAACTTGTTTATCAACAATTTACCTCAATTTAGAAATTGTTCATACAAAGAGCATGCTCTTGCGTATCGACTCAACCGAGATATATAAAATCTGTATGCAGGTGATGAAGGTATATTGCTGTATAAGTAAGGGAAGTTGACGATTGTAAAGATAAAGTCATTACTTTTATCATAGAGCTAGGTTGTTAGATTACCATTTACGTCTTTTCAAGTTATATATCCAAATATGAAACAGATGTGTCAGACTCTGTGGTATCTTTTATCTCAAGCTCACCAGGATATATCGTATCAACATAAGAATGGATAGTACCATTGTTTATTGGCAATACGTCGTCGATATATCTAAATGTCGAGTTGAAGGTCACTGAAAGTATTTTCTTCCTTTCACGCATAAGATTTTGGACAAATTCTTCAATTATGCACAATACGAAATAATAGAATAAGATTTTAACTCAGTGTGAAGTTTAAATTAGGATACCCCTTGAATGGTGCTGATGGTCATTTATGTTGTCGAATATAGTCCCTCTACTTTATTGAAAACTTCCATTTAAGAATCAGTAGAGGATAACGTTAAGATTTCTTTACTTTCAGTGATTTATAGTACCTTTGAATATGTTCATGAGAAGAGCCAGTATAGGCCCTCCGCTTGGGTCGGGGACCGTGTGTAGAATCCACTGTCCCAGGTCCACTGAGAGAGACGGACCCTCCTTGGCATGGTAGGTCTGTAAATCACCTTTCTCCCAGAACTTCATGGAAACTGAAATCATGAAATACTTTTTGTTATTAATTACAGGTTGTAACTTAGCCTATAAATGTAAGCTACACTCTATTGATATTCGACTAGAAAAACACATTTCAAAAATCCTTTGCTCACATCAGAGTTACACTGAAATAAAATGCAATATTTTGCTTTTTTAAATTTATAAATATGTGAAATATTTTAAGTAATTTTTAACAAAAATGAACATTTTAAGGAAAAGAATGCATTGTCTAATTTAAAACGGGTTCTTTTTCTTACACCATTCAGACTCCTGGGCTAAAAAACTTTTCACGTAAGCTCTCACTTTTGATCTCAGTCTCACTTTTACAAACGGAATACTAGTACATAGTGGAAATTTGAGACTGAGATTAAATTGATCTCGTCTTATAGTCCCGGGGCCAGATTCTATCATCATGGATGGTAAGTCGGAATACTGATCTTCCTCAGTATAGGTTCTTTATTTTACCTTTATCATTGATCTCCTTGACGACGACGTCTGTTAGTGAGCTGTTGTAGAGGTAATCAGCTCCCCTCTCTCCAACCTTCTCCAGGAAGTCTGCCAGTCTGCTGTTCCTTATTATGGATCCTTCTGGTACTATGTTTCCTTCCTGGTCACAAAACACATCACTTTGAAAAAAAAAGAATTTAAAAAAGTATACCATAATAAACTGTGGTTACATAACATGACAGAACATTTTATTACGACATTGTTTCAAATTAAAAAAGAAAGAATTTAAAAAGTCATTTTTTTTCTTTTCAAAAAGTAACCATATTGATTGATGTTAATAAATATGGAAGGTATTGAGGAATTAAAAAGCTGATAAGTTTTAAACTAAATCAAGCGTTGGAAATGCAAGATTTGTGGCTTTCTTATCCAATACACCATATTTATCTGAAAAATGACATATCTATTTTCTCGGACAATATTGAATCCTCTACTTTACATTTATAAAGCAATGTCCAAAAGACTACATTTATATGACTGAAAATGCCTAAAACTTTTGAGGTAATGGATGGAACATGGTTATTAAATACTAGTAATTCAAGCAACGAAGAAAAAAAAACCCTAAACAAACAAATGTTTTGGAGTTCAATCTGTCAAGGTATTTGAATCATTGCCTTTTGACTATATATTCAATGTATATTGCTTCATGAAGAATATATACCAGAGAGGTGCATGGTCCTGCAGATTTATGTTGAATGAATTTTTCATGTAGGACAGAGCTTTGTGGACACTGTTGGCGAGGTAGAATCCGTGTCTGGCCAGATGAACAGCTGGTGTGAGGAGGTCCTTCCAAGGTAAACGGCCGTATTTTCTGTGTAACGTCCAATACGCCCTTAGTTCTCCAGGAACTGCTATGTAGAGTCCGCCTAGAGAATGATAATTATCACTTGAAGTGTAACTTTTCTGATAAACAGAAACAATTTACAGACTACAGCTAACATAGAAAGAGCGGGGTTTTCTAAGGACCTTAATTGCACCTGTACGAGTATATAAATCAAAATTGTTAAAATTTAGATGAAAAGTAATCAATTAATATATGACCTCTTGTACTGCTTACTAATAGTTTTTTTTCTTGAAAAACGATCTACTCTTCTTGTTTTTTGCTAGTCTATACATTGTGAGCTCAGGGTCCGACGTCATAAAACTTTGAGAATTCTCAAGAAAAAATCTCAACTCAACTCTTGAAAATTACTCAGCTGAGAATTTGAGAATAAAAGGGTATAAGGTATTCTTATTTTTCCCAACTTTTTTATGACGGTCGCTGACTGAGAATTTTGGATTTGAAAAAAATTCTCAGACTCGAGAGCATTCTCAGACTTAAGCATGTTTTATAACGGCGGACCCTGATATTGTGTCATTAATGATAAATACCTCAATTTCAGTTAAGTTTTTCAAGATACTGTAAATCACTTTTATTCGCGAGAACTTTATATTTTTGCATTATATCGCGAATCTGTATGCTCTCGCGTAAATGTGTAATGGTAAGGATAATATGCAACAAAACCGTTACTGGCAAATATTTTGTCTCGCTTATAAATACCATATACATTATAGCTCGCTTGCGAAAATAAAGTGTCACGAAAATATAGTGATCTACAGTATCAAATAATGCAAAATTTTGAACCAAAAAGTATAAAAAGTACTTATATATATATATATATATATATATATATATATATATATATATATATATATATATATATATATATATATATATATATATATATATATATATATATATTGAAGAATAGTTACTAGAAAAAAGTGCAAGAGATTTCGAGGAATGTACCAAAATATACATAATTTCTGCAAAAAGCAAGAGATTTCAATCTCACATAATGATATATAAGATATTATCTGAAAATTGATAAATGTTAAATCAACACAAGCATAATATGTAAGGCAAAAATAAATTTCATTGGATCTGAGTGTTATTGAATCATATTGACATACATTTTTATTTTGCAATGATGATATGATTACGAAAAAAGTTCTTACCAAGGCACCCAGATTTGTTGACGTAAATATCGCTATGGATGTTTTTGGGCGCCCTCTCGCGGCCGCTGATATACACAGATTTTTGTGATTTGGCATCGTAGTATACAATGAATAACCCTGAATGCAATTAAAAAATTGAAAATGTTAGAAAACTGCTTAATTTTGCTAATTTTTATAAACATTTGAAAGTAAACAAAAATGCAAAATAAATTTATCGTATTCATTTATTTTGTTCAATGAATTATAAAAAAAGTGTTCTTTTGCCACTGGTTACTATTTCTATTTTTAAACTAAATAAAAAATGAAGTATTTTCATAAACATTTTACTGAAAAAAATCAAAGAATTTGTTAAAAAAACATATTCAAAAGAAAAGATTCCTTTAACCACTAACTTTTATATTACTTTGAATGGTCACCGATTTTTATAAAACTTTGCTATAATTACTACGTAAAACATCAATGCTTTACAAAATGGTGTCTTTGTGTCTTTTTTGACATAATAATAGCAAGAAAAGTTTGAAAAATTCTTATCCTTTGTACATGTTACAAGGACCATTGTTAGTTGCTTATATTTTTACGCAAATGAATTTATTAACATGGATAAACTGAATTATTACGTTTGAACAATCTGATTCCATGGTGACATACATGTATGAAATTGTTATTTCCCAAATATGTTTATCATGCATGAAATATATGGAGATAACGAACAGTATTCAAGCTCAAAGTCAATAAAACAATACAAAATAGGAGCAGAGCAAACACGGACCTCCAAAACATCAGAGGTGGGATCAGCTGCCATGGAGGAGTGAGCATCCCCTGCTGACCAGTCACACCCGCCGTGTACTCCTTGTCATGATCGTGAAATATCGGAAAAATCCGTCGTCAATTCAGTGTGTAAATAATGTCAATGATTTACTTCGTGTTAGAAATTATACCTACGTAGAGCATGCATTTGCCTATCAAATCGATTGAGAGATATAAACTCCAGATGCAGGTGATGAAAATATATTGCTGCATAAGTAAGGTAAGTTGACGATTGAAAAGTTAAAGTCATCACGTTTATCATGAAGATTGGTTGTTAGATTATAATTTACGTCTTCTTCAATTAAAATATCCAAATATGAAACAGATGTGTCAGACTCTGTGGTATCTTATATCAAGCTCACCAGAATATATCGTGTAAGACATTAGGGATTCAACTTTTGAAAACAGTCATTGCTACTTCCTTTCATTGTTTGATACACTCGTCACCAACTTGAGGTCATTGACATGTTTAAAAAAATAATCTCAAAATTTAAAATATGTTGCAATATTATCCACAAAACTAAATAATCAAATTTTGCCTGATTTGAGTTTACGGTATCAAAGACTTTCATCATAGAGAGCTTAGAAAAATTATCAGACAATGCCCGCCTAAGTTCCTATATAAATGTTTAAACCAGTACAGACTGTCGCCTTAAAAAAACAATTTTTAACATTGGTTACATGTAGAAAACTGATTTGTTACTATATTGCAATTCATGCTGGTAAACAATATTATTACGCATAAACAAAAGACACATTACATTGTAAGTCATTTTTGTCCAGGTGGCGTTAGTAAGGGTAAAATTCCTTTGTATTTTTGTTTATGCATCATGCAAAGAAAGGCAATCCAACCCCTCTATGTGTTGATTGATCAAATGATGAGAAACACATTTTCTTGGGAAAAATCTTGTCTGCATATGGGATTATCATATTCATTGAGTGACAAGAAAATTGATCAAGTGTATGTTAGATCTATCAACAATATGTTATATCTAAGAAAAATTCCTCGGTAACAAAAGACACGATTCAAGGACGATCGAGTTATTCAGTGCAAAATTTAGAGAAAAGGTTTGGTATTAGAAGAGTCATTATTTATAAAACAATCCTCTGACAATTTTTTGGAAAAGATTTTTACAAAATCTTTTCTCAAAGCTGCAATTTATTGCAATGAATGGAAACATGTTTTAAATGTGAGTCAGAGAGCACAAATAATGATGCAAAACCTACACAGAGTTTACATCTAAGAAATTATAAGGATTTCACGTACTTGAGTTTTCCTCATTTTAATAAATATTATCCATTGTATCAGGAAAGAAATTCATGCCTTTCATCATCTATTTTTGCAAATAATGACACATTTAGGCAAGATGTGCATTCAATTGCATGATAGATTTCAGTTTACATGGGTCGTTCAATAAATATCGCAAGATACAGTTTAATATAATAAACAAAGAAATATAAATTTTAATTATATATTTTACTGTTAAAAATACTTTTAAGGTACTATTCACAAAAAACTCCATGATTTTTCCTATTGCGTCTGCAAGAAATCTTTAAGGTTAGCATGTTCTTTACAACTTTCTACTGTTTAAAATGTTTTTTGGGCATACCTTAAGATGAGTATGCCGAGGTTTTTTGGTCATGAATTCTAAAAATTAGGACACGTGTTAAAGGTAACAGGGAATTCTTTGAGGGATTTAAAATTTAAAAAAATCTGTTTTCCGTACTTTTCTTATTTTCATATGACCTTTTGCAGAATTTATGACACGACTCATGTACCTCAAAATATTAGGTTCCAGTACAAGTTTTCTTCCTATCAATTTAATTATGTTCAAAGAGTGCCGTAAAAATTGTAGACTCTTGGAATCCTGGGCTGTTTTACAAAATAACTCACGCCTGATATCTAAATTTGATTCTGCAGTAACTTTCTTATTTATATTAAATAAAAAAAATGGTTTAAATATTTTAAAAGGTAAGTAAAAAAACTTTTATTTGCTAACAACTTTTTAAACAAAATCATTAATTTATCAAACGTGTACAACCAACAGAACATTTTTGGTCTTAATCGTAGGTTCTTTTGTAAAACAGGCCCCTGTATCATCGGAATAAGGTATGAATAAGTCCAGAAAGTCTCTCCAATTTTTTGTTTACTCAGATAGGGTAAGATAGGCTTAGAAAATTTCTCTCTTGTCGGACTGTCAAATGGACCCACTGATATAGGTCAGACGTATATACATAAAGCTTACTGACAACATACCATTCAACCATACACACAGAATCCATCAGAAATATATGCAAAATTACGGGAATACATCAAGGAGATGCTTGTTGATGGAGCTTTTAGACCATCCTAGAATCCATACATAGTAATGATCAGAAAAATAGATTGTAAGTTATTTTCTCTTGACAAATTTTAAATGTTTTCATCAATTAGATTACAGAAATTAGAGTTATGAATCTAAAGGTTAATAGGTTAACAATCTCAAGAGCCACATTTCTGTAATTTATAAAGGAATCAAAATCTACATCAAACCTCAAAATCAAGGACATGATTACAAGAATATATAGCATACATTATCGAATATATACGTACATAATTACAAAATAGACTTTCTGCCATTCACGAGAAATTTACCTTCAAGTATTAACCCTTTTTGCTACATCTGCATACATCCAAAACACTTTTTGCAAAACTTTCAAATAAATATAAGCATACATTCATACCTTATCTGCAAAAAGCATGAAAATCTTTTGTAAATGAACACTATGGAGTCGCGAATCAAAGCCAGTAAAAGTTTCACCAAAAAAAGGAAAAATGATTATAAAATTCAAATAATTGTTCAAGCTTTAACAAATTTAATATATTCATGTCAAAATCACAATTTATGTGTTTTATAAATCAAATTTACAGGTCTGATTTATTCCTATATTCAGTGTCTGATAGAAGACCGTTTTATGAGCGGCAACTGATTCCATATTCTTGATAATTTATGTAATGACACGGCATCTAGTGTTAAGGTGTTGACATGATTTAATATATTATACCATAAACGTCATGAATTGAATATATTTGAATATATTTCGGATAGGAGACACATTCACTTCTCCTAAAGAGAAAGAAATAAAAGACGGAAATCAATAATATATGATATGGTTTAAGACCATTTTATCCAAAATATTTTTTTTCTATTTTTAAATACATATTTGAAAGGTGAAGACTTTGAGTAAGAAACAAATCAATAAGACTTTTTTTCTCCCTTGATATCTTTGACATACCTATGGTTAGTATGTATAAAACATAAAAGTTAAACAAGTTAAGGGTGGAGGGGGCAAAAAGTAGGAACTCTTCAAGTATTCTATTATGTACAGTTACCTCCTCCTACTCCCATGCTGTGAGGTGTAACGACGCCATTACAAAGAAGCGTTGCTATAGCAGCGTCAGCAGCAGAACCCCCACGAAGCAGAAAATCCCTGCAGCACAAAAAAATCTCAACTTATATTTCAGCAGTAAGTTGCTTATTCACAAAAAAGTGAAAAATTAAGCTTTTAAAATAAATTTTAATGAAAAAAAATTAAAACGGGTTATTTTTACATCGAAAGTTTTATAATTATTTTTTTTTTATAAACCCTACCTGCCTATGTTGGAGCACGCCACATTGTCGCTGACCACAGCACCAGTATTGATGCGCAGTTTCCTACTTTTGTAACTTGTTTTTGTTCTAAAATCGGTAGTTTCCTGAGAACTTTCATCAGAACCTTTAGTTGCTAACCAGATGACAACAATGTACGCAACCAACACATTGAGAATGAGAAATCCAATAAATTTCTTTGAATAGCACACTCCAGTCTTTTTCTTTGGTTTTTTGTCCGTAGAATGTGACTCTTCAGCCATGATACTAAATGTTAAATAACCATATTTCTATTACTTTATTAAAAGAGTGCATATTACCGAAAATAAAAAAGCCATTCCTAAATATAGATTTAGGAGGTTTAATCAAAATTGTTCTTCAATGTGTTTTGCTTGACCAGTATGAAAATAGCCTTGAAATGACTATGGACATAAAAGTCAAAGGCTCTTTAAAATCTAGTCAAAAACTTTTGTACTGGTAACTTTTTTAAGTTTAAGTAAAAGATTATAACAACATTTACTACTTTATTAAGCTTTCACATTTCGCATGCATTAGAAAGTAAAAACCAAACTTTGAATGAAATGTGTGGAGATAACGAACAGTATTCATACTCAAAAGTTCATTAAAACATCAGCGGTCACACCCGCCGTGTGCTCCGTGTCATGATCGGGAAATAACAGAAAAATCCGTAGACATTTCAATGTGTAAATAATGGACTAACAATGAGTATGAAAAACTTCGGTCAGTGTTTGACTTAATGATCGATAGATTCTATTTGCAATTGTATTGACCATTGAACTTAGGAAATAATGACTTTAAATGAGACTGCTGATATTCTTGTTTCTTCAACTTGTTCTTCAATAACTTACCTCATTTTAGAGATATTATTCATACACAGAGCATGTTCTTGTTTATCAAATCAACTGGGAGATATAGACCTAAACATAAAATTCGACACAGAATCTTTTCTGCATTTTTAAAAAACATCAATGCAGATTTTAGAAGCCTTAGCCTATCTTATGTATTATTGTTAAGGTACTAAAGCTTAAAAGGTGAAATCTTCTGAAGTAAAAGTATTGTGTTCTAGTTATGCTACAGAAAAAATGCTAGTACATTTAAGTTCAGAATTGTTCTGAAAGTTTTTTTGTGCATAAATTAAATCTTAATAGAAGTGTTGGAATACACAGAATATTTTTGCCGAGACAACTGTCTCAAGTGTTTGAACTCATTTTCCAAGTCAAATGGAAAAGTATAATGTAACTATTTACCAGGAAGAAGGGAAAATACGAAAACTTGTAAAAATCAACGAACTTTTCATTTTAAAACTGAAATTATAAACGAAGTAAGTACACATGTTTCCATGGTGATTAACTGAATTTTCTGGCTTGATCTATATACAAATATTTTATACAAGTTCGCATGGTTGATACATCAACATTGTCATAAAAATCAATTAGTAAAGAAGAATGTCAATTGACGTTCTTCATTCATGGCTGTAAATTAACAAATTGAATTGTCTACTCGATCATCTTAAGGAGAACACAGCGGATGGGACCGGGCGACAGGAGATGCTTTCTTCTGTATGGCACCTGATTCTTCCTTTGATATTTAAGGGTCCGCGTTTCTGCTGCTCCCAATTTGTATCGTTTCAATGAAGAAATAGCTTATTAATGTTCCTTATCTTTACATCATATTTTACATCATTCTCATCTTGAGAAAACGTTTCTATATAATTACTTCAACCCTGATAAAAATATTACAACACGAAATGTTGAGGATTTAATGCAAATAACAATGCCAAAATAAAAGTTTAAAATTGTAATTCAGCACGCACATATTATTGACAGTTTGATGACCTCCTTCCTAGCCAATATAATCAACATTATTAGTTTTTTAATTGTAAAAATAAACCCATCTTTACACAAATCCAAATCTTTTTTCTATTTTAATATGGTCCATAAACGATAAATCTCTTTCTATTAAAAAGTGTCATTAACTCTTTTGAAATAACTTGAAACCTTTAGAAACAAATACAAAGTTCGTTGACAAACACAAAATGTAAAATAAAAAACCAAACAATTTCAACGGAATCTCAAAAATGTTGATCGTAGTAAATAAAGGTAAACCTCAGTATAATGCTTCAAAAACATATTTTGGACAATCACTATCTACAATATAAAGTTTTCTTTAAATCACTTACTAGTTTTCACCGTTGGAATCTTTTCCAATAGCTGCCATGTCCAATAAACAACTTATGTTACAAGTGTTACAAAGGGCCAACAGACACAATGCGATGCGGACGAAAATTGCGCAGGAAGATTTAGATTTCACCCGACACCTGACCATACAGCGACCTTGTTTATCCTAAGATATGCAAAGCTGGTACAAAGACACAACAGATTAATTTCTCGTCATGTTCTGACAGCATTTCTTTTTGTGCAGGATGAATACATTCCAAAATCAGACCATCACAATGGCACGTTAACTGCACGTCATTGTATGAAATACTATACTTGATTTTGAATAGACAACTAGATGCAATTTTAAGATCTTTAAAAAGTGTTAAATCTGGATATTTAGCAGAAATATTAAAATTTCAAACTACGTAGGCAGTACTTCTTAAATGTATTGAACATTTGTTTGTTTGCATCGTAACTCGTAACTTAGAATTGAATATTTATATCTGAAAAACAATAAAAGTGAAAACTTTTCAAGTAATGATTGAATATTTTAAATAGATTTCTTTCATTGAATAAGCCATTTCATAACATTTTAAAAATATTTTATATTAAAGATCATCAGAACAAAGGAAACCCATGACCGAGTTTCATGTATAGCAATAAATGTAACGTCCTACGAGATGTTTTGCCTTAGAATGGACTTTATAAATGGGCCGCTTTTCTATAAATCGTTGTTAATTTGACATCTGCCGCTGACTTTTATCCTTATAGTGACTATTTTTCAAAAACGGGGCTAAGTTATGTTCGGAAAACATGTACTTGATACATTGTACGAGTTTATAGGCTAAAGAGTTTAAGAAAAGGGAAGGTACCATTTGAAGTTCTTGTTAAGTAGCAATTCCAACGTTATTTCATCATATCTAATCTTTGAATTGTTTAAATAAGAATAAAAATGCAACCATGTCGATGTGTATTATTACTTGTTGAAATGTCTGTAAAACTACATTTATGAATTGATTATTTATAACATGCATAATCTGTGATATGGTACTTTGCTTTGATTTTAATTATTTCAATAGATAAAATACGTGTTACATGTATAAAACTTATAATAAAGCTGCCATTCATTCATTTATCATTTATTTCCTCTTTAAAGAGATACAGAATTAAGAATTAAGTTAATCAACACATTAATCTATGTACAATTCAAATGATATTTTCAAATAAATGATAAGCATAAGTGAAAAAAAGAGATACAAATGTCACATTTGCTCTATACAAGTCATGTGCGCGAGAGCACTGCACATAGCCGTTGGTATTGTGCACATGCACGAACTAACAGTTTCGAGTTTAGAATCCTAAAGTTTCTTTCCTGAGGTAAAGGTAAAACGGTTAGTGGTTCGCGCCCCAGGACAACCAGAAAAAGATCCATCTCACAAAGGCCACACAGTCTGCTCCAAGGCCAATATGAAATGAATTGACAATTGTGTTCCACCATTCATTGTGGCAGTCAGAGAGAGCACCGCAGGACAACGTTATGTGACAGAAAATGTCCTCATATGTGGAATTGCACAGATGACAGGTTGAAAGACATAGGTATTTCGTTGATACAATTAACTTGCAAGTGAACTTAAAGTTTCGAATATCACTTGCGTTATCCGCGAATGACCAGATGTTACAAGGTTTGTTATGTTGAAAGACGGAGTTGAAACGTTCAAAGTCGGGATCCATGAGCATTCGTACTTGTCGCTGTTGAATGTGGAAGTCGTTGATCGCGGAGCGAACAATAGTTTTCCAAGAATATTTATGCGGGAAGGTACCTGTGGTCATCCAGGTAAGCAGGTAAGTGTGTATGTTGTATTTCCTGAGAATATCGATGATATCTGGAATAAAGCCCCTTGGATCTGCAGCCAGCTGTGTCAGGAAGGAGAAAAGTCTTGAGATGAAGATTTGTTTTGAGAGGCACAGAGTGCTCATGTTGCATAGTCTTCCTAAAAACAACAGTTTTCTGGCGTCGATTTCGGCATGGATGGGGAGTATACCCATAAGCTGTTCACACATGTCAGATCGAGTGAGCTTGGGCAGATTTAGGACGGCTTTGCAAACCCCATGTTGAAAGGTGCTTAAACGCCTGTGATCCTCTTGAGTTAAACAGGTCCACAATTCACATCCGTAGAGTACAGATGGAAGGACAATCGTTTTATAGAGATGAGTCATAGTAAGAGGATTAACACACGAGATATCGATGTCAGATAGGCCATAGAAGGATTTCCACCCTTTGTTGCATGCGTTCAAGATGCGGTCTTTTGTTTTTGCTTTGTCATTTATGATAATACCCAAATGATTGTATTTTTGGCCGTATGGTATTTCAGAAATCCCAAGAAGTATTGGTTTATCCGGAGAACTACTGTGTTTTGAACGGAATTTTAGAACGCAGGATTTTGATACGTTGAATGTAAAGCGCCATTTGCATGCATATGCGTAAGCTATATCCATCATGGACTGAAGATTTGCTGGGGATATGGCGATGCAGGAAATATCGTCAGCTAGAGTAGGACTCGCGTATTTGGGATCCAGAACGCATTTTAGTGATGTTGAGTTGCAGTGTTCTAGTTCGTCTAAAAGTTCGTTGACAAAAACAAGGTACAAAAATGTCGACAAGACGCTACCTTGCCTGACCCCTTGATGAACATCAAACCATCTGGATTGTTTTTGATTTACGATAACGGCACTTACAGTATTGCAGTGGCAGTCGTCGATAATCTGCCATAATTTGCCTTTAATACCTAGGTTATGGAGTTTGTACATCAGTCCCTGTCTCCAGACTGTATCGAAAGCTTTACTTGTGTCCAAAAAACTGATATATGTGTTGCTGCCTTGTTCAAGATTATGGTTCAATGTTTCATGAAGATTGAATGAAGCAGTTATACATCCTAAATGTTTTTGGAAACCTTGTTGTTGTATATTGAGGAAGGTATATATTGGTTGTTTCTAAGGTAGATATTCTATTAGACAGAATTTTCTCAAACAGTTTGTAAATACAAGGCAGAAGAGCAACAGGCCTGTAGCTATTGCAAGAATTTTTGGGTTTATCACCACCTTTGTATATGGGGACAATCAATCCTTGTTTCCACGTAGAAGGAACAGTTCCTAACGTCATAATCGCATTGTAAAGCTTACAGAGGCATTTTGTGATAAGGTCGCTAGCGAACGCAATGTGCTCGTTTGTTACGCCATCAATGCCTGGAGCTTTGCGCATTTTAAGAGAAGAGATTGCACTTATTACATCATTTTGTGTAATATCATTTTCACTGGAAGATTCAGAAACACTTGTTTTTATGCGTGCATAATGACTCTCGATGACGTGTTTAAAGCGATTGTCAAAATGATCGTCTTCCAATGGGCGGTAAATCTCTTCATAAAATTCTGCAAAAGCATTTGCTACGCCGTCGGGATCGTTGTGGGTTGTACCACTGGCGTCGCAAATTTCTGGATATATTCTAGAAGGTCGAGGTCGCCTTTGTTTGACAAGACGCCAAAATAAACGTATGTCCATTTCCGCTGCTTCATCCAGATCTCGGTGAACAGATAAACAATAAAAGTGAAAACTTTTCAAGTAATGAATGAATATTTTAAATAGATTTCTTTCATTGAATAAGCCATTTCATAACATTTTAAAAATATTTTATATTAAAGATCATCAGAACAAAGAAACCCATGACCGAGTTTCATGTATAGCAATAAATGTAATGTCATACCTATCGGTCCCTCGTTGAGATGTTTTGCCTTAGAATGGACTTTATAAATGGGCCGCTTTTCTATAAATCGTTGTTAATTTGACATCTGCCGCTGACTTTTATCCTTATAGTGACTATTTTTCAAAAACGGGGCTAAGTTATGTTCGGAGAACATGTACTTGATACATTGTACGAGTTTATAGGCTAAAGAGTTTAAGAAAAGGGAAGGTACCATTTGAAGTTCTTGTTAAGTAGCAATTCCAACGTTATTTCATCATATCTAATCTTTGAATTGTTTAAATAAGAATAAAAATGCAACCATGTCGATGTGTATTATTACTTGTTGAAATGTCTGTAAAACTACATTTATGAATTGATTATTCATAACATGCATAATCTGTGATATGGTACTTTGCTTTGATTTTAATTATTTCAATAGATAAAATACGTGTTACATGTATAAAACTTATAATAAAGCTGCCAACAGTGGAAAACCATGCATCATCTTACCACTTTAATGAGAATTTTTACAGAACTTAAACATACATAAATTTTAAGCACTCAGTGAGATTGTGTAACACATATTTTAATTGAATTTGAAAAAAAATATGGATGCAGAGGGTATGTTTTATGAATTCAGCTTCATTTTTTAATGTAAATCACTTTCTTTTAAAATACCTCTTATTTAACTGGAGTAGTATACGTACAAAATGAATATAAAAAGAAAACTGTAATAGTATTCTACGTTAAATTCATTTTTACAAATTTAAGATTTAATCAGTTATCAATTCATATTCCTGGATTTTCCGACATAACTTAACAGAAAAGGATAGGTGAGTAATAGATATCCGTGACCTATTTAACCTATTAATAGCCTTGAAATGATCATCAAACATATCTGTTGTCCCTGAAGACCTCATTTTTCAGCATACTGATGCATTATCTTTGACATTATTGTAACGTCATTATTTATGTTTACAGTATTTAGCAGATTTGTCACCTTTTTCATGCAAATGAGATTTAAATTAATGAGAAACTGTAATCATTCTTTTCATCGGCTAAGAGAATGTAACTCATTCTTTGGATCATACAAAACAGGTAGAACATTCACTGAGAATTACTTCTAACGATACTTTTCAGATCAAATACTAGTACAACTTTCGACATCACATATTGATCATAACTATTGGCATCTTGAATGTAAAAAACCAAAATTAAAGGTGAAGAATCTCTTTAATGCACGGAAATATACTGTATATATTATAAATTATTTGAATATTATATTTTTTTTAGGAAAAAAATAATGTACTTTTCACACCTTAAGAATACATGTATAATTAATTTTTACTCATATTGAGACAACTAACAGTTCGGTGGCCATGGAGAGCTGTATTTTTATACAGGTACTCTACATCAAAGCAGCACCAAGTGCGACACGGGACTTCGGTTTAAATGGTCTGATCCGAAGAGACGGTCTCCACGTCCCACTGTTATATTCGAACCGATGAAGAAAGGAAACACTCCTTACTTCGCGATTGTAGAGAGAAAGCTTTAACCACTATGTTACTTTCATAAATATATATTGTACTAGCAGATCTATTGCAACTTCGAAATCTGACAGTCTTTGGGGAAGAAGATTTATAAAGACAGTTTTCTGTATCTTTAAAATTGGTAAGACTTCTGAGCTTTACTGTGGTTAGAAAATGTTTTAAAATCTAGCACACTTTCCAATCGGATATTTAACACTGAAGCATAATGAACTTATGGTGAACAACAACAAACAATTACAGGCATATTTTCAAATATATTTTCTTAAATTACCAATCGGTAAATAACATACAATGCATTTGTTTGTATGTTTTCTGTTCTTCAAATATGCAATTTTCTCGGTGCCGTTGGAAGAAAAGAAACTAGAGAAGGCTTTAGCTGTTTACTGTACATCCTTCCCGCTTAACATCGTTCCAATAGGTTTTGGTACTCGATTTTCTACACCCCGAAGGCCCGCCGTTATGGAGTCTAGCATAACTCTCGCAGTTGCCATTGCAGCCACGAGAGCCACCGTAACGGTCCATGTAGGAACGCACACATCCAGCGGCACAGTTGTAATCATTGGCACATTCCTTCCAACCTATCAAGAAAAACCTGGAAATGCCATCAAAGAATTTGGAATTACATGTACATACACATTGTTATTAATATATGTACGCACAAACACCCTTCATCCTCACACACACACTCTCTCAAATACACCCTTAGGCCTACACCTTCACACAATCTCTTAACCATTCTTCTTACTTCTCCAAGGTCGACCACAGTCAATCCAGTAATCTTTTTTGATTTGAAAATAACCACAGGATACCGAGTTGACGTCCCAGTTACAACCAATAGCTCGACAGCCGCTTGATTCAACCTGAAGGTATTATAAGGTTTATTGTTTACTGATGATTACATATCAATTTAAGTAATTGTTGATTAACATTTTGGTAAGCCTTATTAACGAGGCGTTCCTCGACTATATATTTTTATCTCTTGGTATTATATAAAAATTATTCATGATTACCATATGCATTCTCTTGTGATTCCTAACTTCTAGTCCATACGTTTTTTATAAAATAACTACACCAAAAAATTGTGAAAATGACAAAAGATAACCCTTAAGGATAATTTAAAGTAATATGATAATTTTATCATTTCTATAATATTCAAATTTTATTTTATATTTTATTTAATAATCTAATAATAATTTAATAAGATTTTATTTAATAAATAATATTAAAATTTCTAAAAAAAAAAAAAAAAAAAATATATATTTGTCTTTACGTGTAGTGAATTTAGTTAGTGAATGGTGTTGGAGAAAAACAGAGCTAACTAATACTTACCTTACAAATGCATCTCAAGCAGTCGTTAGATATGCCACCTGTTTAAAAGTTATGTGAAATATATTCTATTCAACTTATTTAGAATAAATTTTTCTAAAAATGCATCATTTTTTTCAAATTAAGGTAAGATGACCCCCCCCTCCTCCCCAAAAATGAGAGAGAGAGAGAGAGAGAAAAACGAATCATCTTCCATCTTGTATATGTTTAATTCCTAGACATTTAAAGGCACGTAATTTAATGATATATTTATCTAATACATTTAGTTTTTCATATGCCCCTCATAAGTGTCGACCATTTGCGGAATCTATGCAATACAATGTCTAATATTTATTGCACTTTAATATAATTATCGCAACCATTTCAATGCATTACATTTCTTTATTCTATTTCACAACTTTTCTATTCCCAATTAAATTTTATAAATTTAGGAAAATTCAATATTATACCATAGATTTAATCTTAAATTTTATGTCAAACAAAACCAATTAACTAATTTATATTTTATGTAATGGGAATAAGTTATACATAATTGTACCATAGTTAGGTGTGATTTCTTTTGTTAAAAGTGTGGGTTTTCTGTACATAACCCACACTTTTCTATTACTCCGCCCATCAAGTCGGGACAAAAGAACTATTTATAAAACGATCATGCACGGTTTTTAAATGAAACAATCATACGGGCTTGTTATACCAAATTTAGGAGAGTAAAAAGGAGTAAAAAAAATTTCAATTGTATACAGTATTTTGTAATAAATAACAGTTTAAAACGGTTATTAATACTTTAACTTTAGTTAAAAGTGAAGAAAAAAACCCTTCAGAAATCGCTTTATTTTTTAAACTTTTTAAATAGTGTAATGACCAGGTTGACATTAGCTTAGTAGATTCCAATATATCGTTCTTTTGATAACCAGCAAAGGAAACACGGAACATACTTGACGTAAAAACAAGTGTACACTACTGTACTTAAATAACCTTTTCGATTGCGGACTAGCCGATCAAAGATCTAATTTTCATTAAATTGAAATATACATAACCTCTAACAAACATTTCAATCTACGTACCACTCTGCACGGCAAAGTTTGTATCAGGTTTACAAAAATTTAAGTTAAACCAAGTTGATAATAAATTAAAATTACTAGTATGTAATTTTGACGATTGAAATTTACGAGAAAATTATCATATCAATTTAACATATATCATTAAAAACCAAACTCTCTATTTTTTTTTAATTACATAAATCAAACTTTTTAAACAGGTCTAAATATGTTTAATTTTTATGTCGCTTTCGTGGCCCAGTGGTTAAAGCGCCTGCCCTAGAGTCACGAAGTAAGGAGTTGAATCCCACTGTGGGACGTGGAGACATATAAGTATAAACAGAGGTCCCGTGTCGCAGAAGGTGTTGACTGGAAGATCCCTCACTGCTCAATGACCTTGAGTGCCGTGTATAGGGCAAAATTTGTAGCAAAATTTGAAAAGTATTGTATACAAATCACTTACCCTATATTCCATTGACGTGGTCAGAAGGACACGAAGGAGCGTAAAATCATATAAAATCCAAATGCATCTTTGAAACCGAACACTTGATGTTTCAATCACGCGAACCAGTCCGACCGACTCCTAAGCTGACTTACATATGAATGATTTTTGAAAACTATGGTACAAGTCATTTACCCCATATCACACTGTTGATTATGTGTAGATACCCGATGGGCGTGGTCATAATGACAACTCGGGAGCTACGCTCCCTCGTGTCATTATGACCACGCCCATCGGGTATCTACACATAACCAACAGTATGATATGGGGTAACTACTACTTGTACCATAGTTAGGTGTGATTTCTTTTGTTAAAAGTGTGGGTTTTCTGTACATAACCCACACTTTTCTATAACTCCGCCCATCGGGTCAGGACAAAAGAACTATTCATAAAACGATCATGCACGGTTTTTAAATGAAACAATCATACGGGCTTGTTATACCAAATTTAGGAGAGTAAAAGGAGCCTGTAAAAATTTTCAAGTGTATACATCATTTAGTAATAAATAACAGTTAAAAACGGCCATTAATACTTTAACTATAGTTAAAAGTTAAGAAAAAAAACTTCAGAGATCGCTTGATTTTTTAAACATTTTTTTTAGATAGTGTATTGACCAGGGTGACGTTAGTTTAGTAGATTCCAATATATCGTTCTTTTGATAACCAACAAAGGAAACACGGTACATACTTGACGTAAAAACAAGTGTACACTACTGTACTTAAATAACCTTTTTGATTGCGGATGAAGCCGATCAAAGATCTAATTATCATTAAATTGAAATATACATAATCCATAAAGAAAACAACATTTCAATCAACGTACCACTCTGCACGGCAAAGTTTGTATCAGGTTTACAAAAATTGAAGTTAAACCAAGTTCATAATAAATTTAAATTACTAGTATGTAATTTTGACGATTGAAATTTACGAGAAAAAAATCATATCAAATTAACATATATCATTGAAACCAAACTAGTTATTTTTTCAATTACATAAATCAAACTTTTTAAACGGCGAAGATATGTTTAATTTTTATGTCGCTTGCGTGGCCCAGTGGTAAACGTCTGCCCTAGAGTCACGAAGTAAGGAGTTGAATCCCACTGTGGGACGTGGAGTATAAACAGTATAAACAGAGGTCCCGTGTCGCAGAAGGTGTTGACAGGAAGAAGATCCCTCACTGCTCAATGACCCTCATTGCCGAGTATAGGGCAAAGAGGTAGAGCCACTTTGGGCCATATTTGGCCCTGAGAATTTCTGAAAAATCAGAACTGATCAGTTTAGGTTGCAAATGTAGTATTTATCACTTGGAGTGTTGGTGACCACGTATCTATTAATTGTGACGTAATTTTCCATCTAGTCAATGCATTATGACGTCATGAAATGCGTCATTTTCCTAATATCCTGTAAATTCCTTTGAAAATGACCTAAAGTTGAAGCTTTTTTTCAGTATTTCATATAGAGCACAACCTCTGATCCAAAATATGCCAATACATAATGAAAGCTCTGTTTCTGAAGATCAAAAAACATGTTTTATTTTTTGGATCGTGGGCTGTGCTCATATTTTAATTCTTTGCTGAAGGTAGTCAAATACGCATGTTTTCTGCAAATTTCAAGAACATTGCAATTTTTCAAACCTGTTTTCCAATAACTGGATTCTCAAAAACGAAATTTTTTTATAGGAAATGAGAGCACCAAGTGTCTATTTTCTTTTGATATATGAAATGGGAAAGAAGGTGATAGTTAATTTATTGATATACGTACAGGGCCATTTTATGCATAAGATGGCTCATGCTCTTTGAAAATTATTGTATACAAATCACTTACCCTATATTCGATGGACATTGTCAGAAGGACAGGAAGGAGCGTAAAGTCTTATAAAATCCAAATGCATCTTTGAAACCAAACACTTAATGTTTCAATTGCGAACTAGTCCGACCGATTCCTAAGCTGACTTACATATGAATGATTTTTGAAAACTATGGTACAAGTCATTTACTCCATATCACACTGTTGATTATGTGTAGATACCCGATGGGCGTGGTCATAATGACAACTCGGGAGCTACGCTCCCTCGTGTCATTATGACCACGCCCATCGGGTATCTACACATAATCAACAGTGTGATATGGGGTAACTACTACATAATAAATAAATAATACATTATTTATAACAAAAAAAAAAAAAAAACTCACCGTTTGCTACGGATGCCAAAACTGCACAAGACACAAGAAAGACAATCATTCTGCTAGTCTATTGTCGTTATTACCTCTTTCATGAAAAGACTCTCTGTTTTATAGGTTTAGTTCTGGATTAGTCATGTCTTCATCCTTGACGCAGTTACAGCTGTGACGCAATCTGTCACAAATCCACGAAAAACAATAATAATTATGTAATTTTTAAAAGATCTATATGTACATGTATATTTTGAATTGTTTTCATGATTCAAAATTGACAGATATTTTGCAATTAGGTAGTGGGTTTCAGTTCAACATGTTGCAAAATCGAGTGGGTTGCACATCACTGTGTAAATGCAATGTAGAATCAACAAAGGTAGTGTTTAAGGTACTTCGATCCTCAGGTTATGAAAATCAGGCATCCACTAATTGAAAATGCTCTCAAAAATGTCTCTGAATTCTCAAAGTAATGTGTTTTTACCCAAGATAATTCTTCAAACTTCATCTAAAAAATTAATCATATTATATCGGGAAATTCATTAAATCTCAAAAAATTTTCAGGAAATGCAAATAAAAACACACACCATGCATTTTCCAATCAAGCTTTGATCAACAAATACATTTAGAATTAAAAATCATCTAGGCTTTTGAAGAAATTGCTTAATTTTAATACGTATAAGGTATTTAAGTTTCTTCTGTTTACTCTGCTCATTTTACTGAACATAGAATTAAAGATTTTCCTATCATTGTAGAACACCACAAATTACTTCTAATTTCATATCATGTCAACAAAAATGGGTATTTATGATTAGATTAAAAAGATACTCAATTTCTTTCAATATGTAATTTTACAATACTTTAATAAATTATTTAACCTTCTAAATCTGTCAAAGACGTGCAGCTAATTTGGGGTTTGAATGGCAAAGAAGAACACCGAGTTGTTCCTATCCAGAAGTTAACGAAGTAACCTGTATCAGGTAAGCCAATATCTGATCTACTACAATATCTATAGAATTTGCAACGGAATTAAAAATCATGAATTAATGAAATCATGAATGAATTTGTTCTAACTAGGAACAGTAATGTTTATGCTTTTGTGTTATACATGTGTAAATTTTGAAAGAAATTAAATGTGAAGCAGTTGTTGGTGGAAGGATTAAAATAAGAACTCTAATTTAAAAAAATCAACATTTAACTTAGATGTAGAACTATAGTGTTATGGTTTTATAATTATATTAGTCTCTTGATTAAATTTTTTGTTTTGCAATCCAACAGACATTTCAAATAAAGCTAGGTTAATCAAGCATCTGTAGAATCCACTATTAAGGGTTGGGAGGTGGACACAATATGGAGATTGGTTAAATAATTTGTGTAGAAATAGGGGGATGAAAGGTACATGATTGACCCATGCTGGAAATATGAAGAAATATCGATAACGGTGCGCAAAAATTCTTGCGCCGTAAATTGCACATTTTTGAGTAATGGGATATGAAGAGTTATGGTCAAAGACTAATATATAAAACCATATAGCAGTTACTTACTTTCATAATATTTTACCGGTATATGTTCAAAGAAGGATGGCACGTTTCTTTTCATTTCATGGTACATTTTGTTTAGGTAATTACAGAATTTTCCAAGAAAGCAGGCACAAAGGAGTGGAAGTGTTTCATTAAACAAAACCATAAGCTGACTGATCAAGTGAAAGATGAAACCAGTTGTGAAAGTTCTGGAAACACTACAACAAGCAAAAAGAGTAGAACTCAGCAATACCAATTCACCAGGCCAAAAAGTATTTGCAATCTTGAAAACATTTGGCAGCTGAAAATCACACTTATTAATATATAAAATCAAGATCAAATAAGAACATCACAGCAAATTTGTATGCCACAAAAATATTGAAAGCATTAGAGAAATGGCTTATAAGGAATTCATAAATACCCCCTACTTCTTTCTTTTGATGTATTTTTTTAAATTCAAAGTCATTATCTATTCAAATTTGTGCTATGTATGTCTAAATTCTGAATTACAGATATGGAAAACTCCAGAAATTATTTTTTTAATTAGGCCTATTGGAGAAGTTTCAGGTATTTTTATGAGAAGCGCTAACTGTATTTTTGAAAATTTTGATGAAGAAATTTAACAAACTTTGACTTTCAATATCTTCTTTAATGAAAGTTTGCCAACAGCAGTTAAAAAAATGTTAACATAAGTATCCTAAGTAATAAGCAATAAAATTTATTGATTAAAATATCCTCGCTGTTTGTTAAAGTAATTTCAATTCTACCTAAAATTGTCGCTTTTTCAAAAAATTGGAAAAGTGTCGATTTCATGACCTTTTTTGCAATAAAACAAAATAAATGTCAATCATTCTGATTATGCATTTATGAAGAACTTATCTTTATTCTTTTACTAAAAAAAGTATATTTGAATTGTATTTAAAAATGCTTTATTTTTCTTAAAAATATGATTAAAATTTTAAGAATTAGCTCACATTTTGTTGCATAATAGCTATTTTTAGTTACAGGCCATAAAACTTATATGGGTTCGATAAGCCTTATAAAATTTGTCGATTTCATCTTATATATACTAGATCTGGCTCAAAAGGTTTGAAGGCAATCAGAGGAACTTGCTTCCGTACCAGGTTTAATTTTCACTGTTTTCGAGGTATAGGGAATCTTACGAATTTCTACCACGAAATGTAAAATGTGATACCGGTATGCACTACTACTGAACATTTTTCAAAAACGTAATCAAATCCCCATAGACCAATATTTAATGTTAAAATACAAGACACAATATATTTAAAAAAAATACACATAAAAAGATTTTGATTTGTGTAACTCAGCTATTTATTATGAATGTATAACTTAAATCAGCACTTTGCAAGGTAAATGAAGAGATACCAACGTTATTTAGAATAAAATTTAAAACATTATATCCACTATCAATACAGTTACCCTTTGGATTTGTTTATTATCTAAGAACAATTTTGACGGGTAAAACTATATTGTGATTAGAGAAGCTGTTTTGAAAAATCTTTAAGGTACCAATCTGTTTGCCTAAGACTTACCTGTTTCCACATGTCAGTTACACAGTGGAAAGCAAAACCAAAAAACAGCTTAGCTTTAATCGAGTATATCCATGTACCAAATGTGCAATTTAACCTAGCTGAAATGAATTTTAATTTTGAGAAGTGTAGGAAATATAAATATCATTTTTTTCTTATTCTTATATATTTTGATTAATTGTCTTATGCATGCATGTTCTAAGTTTATGTATCTCAGTTGATTCGATACGCAAGAGCATGCGCTACGTATGAACAATTTCTAAAACGAGGTAAATCATTGACAAACAGGTTGATGAAACAAAAATATCAACAGTCTAGTTTAAAGTCGTCATTCCGTATGTTCTATGGCCGATACAATGACCTTGTCAGCAATTACAATTTATCATTGAGTCAAATACTTACTGACGTTTTTCATACTTATTGTTAGTCCATTATTTACACACTGAATTGACTACTGATCTTTTTCCATTATTTTCCGATCATGACAAGGCTCAAACGTAGGGCTTGACCGGCCGGCAGGGGATGCTCACTCCTTCATGTCACCTGATCCCATACCTGATGTTTTGATGTCCGGGTTTTCTTTGCTCCTATTCTGTATTGTTTTATGGACTTTTGATCTTGAATAATGTTCGTAATCTCCATATTTTTATCAGGTAAGCCTAGTCAGAAATTAATGAAAATGAGATTTTACAGAATGAAAATATAATGTCACATAAAAGTGAATTGATTCAGAGACTTTTGATAAAAATTTTCTCCCGTCCACAATGTTATACTTGCATATCGATTTTACACAAGGAAGAGTAATCCATACAACGTTAATCTTGATATGTTTATGTCAAGTTATCCTTCTTAGGAAAACAAATAACAGCAAATATAAATTAGAGTATGTTACTTAATGTATTGTTTATGTAAGTTCAAAAAATGAGATGACAATTTATGTTCAAAATCTTGTATGTGAAAAGAAGAAAACACTTGCTCTGGCCTTCAACTCGACATTAAGATATATCGACGACGTATTGTCAATTAACAATGGTCATTTCCATTATTATATATTCCGATGAGATTGAGATAAAAGATACCTCAGAGTCTGACGCATCTGTTTCATATTTGGATATTTTACTTAACGTAGGTCGCGGGTTTGCTGACGTCCTTAAAACAGGGTACGCAATTTATATGATTTGGGCGACTTTCTTGTGCACATCTGATTATGACGTCACGGTGAGGAAGCGAAAATTTCAGTACATTATCTAGCTGTAACTTTTGTTGAAATTGGTAGTTCAGTGTTACATATTCATAGAACATGCTGAAGTTATAAAAAAAATAATGAAGGCTTATTTTGATTCGAATGACCATCACTGAAAGTGTTAGAAGCGTTTCATTATGTGTTATCAGTCGCATCTTCTCGGGTCTATTCTGAGAGCACATGTACTTGTTTCGGAAATAAATTTTAACCCTTGTATCATGTATGATTTATAAATATTAAATACATGTATTAAATGTGTATAATTATAAAACAGGTTATCTAACTCAGAATTACACTCGATACCCCCTCCTTAGAAACGCACTCATTTTAGTGTACACTTTCAGTGGAAATGCACTAACAAACTGTTTATTACCATTGTCTTCTACGATAATTTATCTACACAACCATATATGGCATGCATGTCATTGTTTTTCATTTATCTCCGTAAACAGCGTCAAAACTTTGCTCACCGATGGAAAGTCGAACTCAATTATGAAACGGTATGTGCTAATCTGGGACAAATCTATATAAAGGTTGATCACAAATTAAAAACTGCTAAGGCACTACCGGGGTAATACTAATGAAACATAAACTAAATTATATATAATATGTATATATATTTTTTTTGAGCGACATTGACCTCTTGTACATAACCACAGGCACGTGTGATTTGACCCCCTCCCTCCTTTCCATTTTTTACATCCTAAAGCAGGGGATGAGTAAAATTTTTCCATTTTTTTAAATTTTAACTCCACCCTATAAGTGCATGCTGA